TGAAGCTCAATGAGCGGGCACACCCATGAGGCTCTGAATGGGAACTCCTGCCACAGGCACAATTGGGAGCCTGGGGGCAGGGATAAACTGAGCCAGCATAGGCTAGTCAACCTAGGGAGAGATTTCAGCAGTGCCTTGTGAAGATGTACAACCTGACTGGGCTAAAATCTAGCAGCTGTCACTTGCTAGGCAATAGGAGATTAGCACATAGAGGTTTTCTAGTCTAATTTTACTTCCCTCAGAGAGTCTTAGCTCTTGAATAGAAGAAAACCATACCTAAAAAACTAGATTTACCTTGAAGACAAAATATAATACAGAGAGAAAAATAAGGATACCAAGGATAAAACTTTGAGAGTGAGCCTCGGTTCTCCTGCTATACCCTACAAAGAGACCATACCCCTCAATTTATGGTTTACGGAGATCTCCAAGCCCTCCCACCGCAGTGTGGGCAGACCCAGTTCTTCGATGTTCTTAAAATATTACTCATTCCTAAGCTCCTCCAGAATCCCCAGCAGACATCTCAACTCTTCAAACTTCTCTGCGATAGCTTTACCATAGGTAGGCTGGTGCCACATGGAAACTACACTTAAAAACTCAAGGTACGGTCCTTTTTCTTTTACCTACTACCTCCTACTCCTTTCTTTTTATTTTTTATCCCAAAGCAACCTGGGCTCTTGTTTTCTAGGCCCAGGCACTAGGTAAAAATGTCAGGAGCACAAGAGCCATACAAAATACACATAACGGCAGGAGAAAGAAATATGGAGATGGGAAACTATATACTCAAGACTAACACCCATGTAAGTAGGCTTAGGAGCTGGGAACTGCAGCACTGCTCTAAAAGAGGAACAAACTAGTTATCCACATCCACCCCAACAAAAGAGTTGGAGAAAAAACAGAAAGATCAAAGTTATATAAGTTGAGGAATTGGGGGTATTGGGGAAGAGAAGAAATGGAATCAATCTAGGAAACACTATTCCCATTCTAAGAAGGGGAACCATCATATCTGTACACAGCCTGGGAGTCATGTGATAGGAAAGGGAGAGTTTTTGATGGTGTTTTGGTGGTGATGCTGACAGAAGTGACATAATGGTGATGACGGTGATTATGGAAGTAAGACCCTGAGTTGCCACAGGGATGGGGAAGCCAGGCTGCAACCAAGACTAAGGCTGTCACAAGGAAACCATCCCAGGAGGGACACTTAGTGAGTGGCTCAGAGACAGCAGGGTGTCAACACAGTTGGAAGGAGAGGCAAAGTCAGTGTCAAAACTCAGAGTCAAGTGTCTAGAGGTGACATGATGAGGAGGAATGACACTGAGTCAGAAGCAAACGTACTGTTAGTCGGATGCTTTGCAAACGATACAGAAAATTGTTTTACGGTCGGGACAAACAAGAGTTCTGGGGAGAAAAGACACCATGGGGATTATACCCACCCTTGTCCCCACCCTCTGCTCTGGAGTTTGCCCACAAGATAGTCTGTCATTTTATTTTATTTTATTTTATTTTATTTATTTATTTATTTTGAGATGGAGTCTCACTCTGTTGCCCAGGCTGGAGTACAGTGGTGGGATCTCCGCTCACTGCAAGCTCACCTCCCAGGTTCATGCCATTCTCCTGCCTAAGCCTCCCGAGTAGCTGGGACTACAGGCGCCCGCCACCACGCTCAGCTAATTTTTTGTATTTTTAGTAGAGACGGGGTTTCACCGTGACAGCCAGAATGGTCTCGATCTCCTGACCTCGTGATCCACCCACCTCGGCCTACCAAAGTGCTGGGATTACAGGCATAAGCCACCGCGCCTGGCCAGATATTCTTTAAAGTTAGTTATCTGACCTGCTCCCCTCCCCATCTCTTGGATTTCTAACTAACACATGTCAATTTCTTTTCCTTTGGTAAATCTCTTAGGAATCTATGTGTCATCTCTACCACAATACACCCCTACAAACAACCCTAATTTTACCACTGTGTCCTCTTTCTGGTCATTTGGAAATAAAATCTTCATAGAAATATTATCCCTTCCCCCAGTCTCTTTCCATATTATCTTTTCTGCCTTAGCTGAGCAACATTCCCTTCCCCAAACCCAATTTGCTGGATTTTATTTTATTTTATTTTTATTTATTTATTTATTTATTTTTTGAGACGGAGTCTCGCTCTGTCGCCCAGGCTGGAGTGCAGTGGCCAGATCTCAGCTCACTGCAAGCTCCGCTTCCCGGGTTCACACCATTCTCCTGCCTCAGCCTCCCAAGTAGCTGGGACTGCAGGCGCCCGCCATCACGCCCGGCTAGTTTTTTGTATTTTTAGTAGAGACGGGGTTTCACCGTGTTAGCCAGGATGGTCTCGATCTCCTGACCTCATGATCCGCCCGTCTCGGCCTCCCAAAGTGCTGGGATTACAGGCTTGAGCCACCGCGCCCGGCCAACTTTCTTATTTTAGAGATGAAGAAACAGAGATCCAAAAGGGACATCCTTTGCTCAAAGTCACACAGTTCTTTAGCAGCTAAACTGGACTAGAATCCAGGTCTCCTGACTCTGAGGACCAACTGTATTGTTAGAAAATAAATAACTATTTTTCAGGAACCAGCATAGTTTCTGAAATTAACATGGACAGAAATTGAAGGGCATGTGAAGAATCAGTTGATTATATGTAAAGCATGCCTATTATGTGATGAGCACCCTAATAAGAAGGAATACAGGAAATAACAACAAAAAGATATGTTTTTTCTGCTCTCAAAAGTGTATTATCTCATAAGCCTATTCTCAAAGCCAGTTGCCCACACATACAAATTCAAAGACAGCAAAGAGAACTCCATTGTCAATGAGAGGATTAAATAAAATTTGAATAATCTCTGAAGTATGGAATAAATCAGACCAGTCACTGTCCCCAACATTTGATCTAGAGGAGGGTTAGGACTCCACGGTCCCTTCTCCTACTATAGCCTATAAAGACAGAGTGGTCAAGAAGAAACAAGACTGACACCCAAGTTCTCAGGATTTGCCTCCCTATTTCCAAATCCATCTTAGCCAAGACCCTGGATTTGGCTTGTGACTTAACATTCATAGGGTTTCCCTATGGATGGAGTGGAAAGGAGTTCAATTCCCTTGAGGCCACCAAGAAGGGACCATGGTTTCAGGGGTCCCAGGATTTCAGGGTCACCAGAGCAATCAGGAAGTTCAGATGGCTGATGATTCCAACCCAGGAATTCAGGACCTCTCCTCTATACAGCAACTTCCTCCACCTTTCATGTTCAAACAGGCTCTGGAATGAGATTCCAGAGAGTAATAACAGTTGCTAAATACGACTGCTTTTCTTCAGCGAAGCTAAAACTAGCTGGCTCTATCCCAGACCACCCCAAGCTTTGTCCTACATACACTTCCTCCACTGAATACTTTTCTGGTGCAGTCGTGCCAACTCTGTTCTGCCCAGTCCTCTGATCATCTCAGAGGGTGGTCTCTACCTTACCACCACCATCTGCCAACCAGTTCCATGTCCATACTTCTGCCTTGTTCTTTAAAGCATTCCCATGGCCCACTTAACTGGGCCAGACACACCTATCCTCTTTTCTAGTCTGTCTGAAACCTATTCTCTACTGGGACTTCTGGGAAGAGAGGCCCATGTCATAGATCTACACTATTGTTGTTTCGGTTTTTGTTTTGTTTTGTTTTTCTTTTTCTTTTGTATTTTTGAGATGGAGTGTCACTCTGCCACCCAGGCTGGAGTATAGTGGGCACAATCACAGCTCACTGCAACCTCCATCTTCTGGATTCAAGCAATTCTTGTGTCTCAACCTCCCAGTAGCTGGGATTACAGGCATGCGTCACCATGCTCAGCTAATTTTTGTATTTTAAGTAGAGATGGGGTTTCACTATGTTGGCCAGGCCAGTCTCGGAACTCCTGACCTCAAGTGATCTGCCTTCCTCGGCCTCCCAAAGTGCTGGAATTATAGGCATGAGCCACTGTGCCTGGCCAGATCTACATACTTGTCATTTATTTCTCATGCCCCAGACCATCTTTCTCATTTCAGGAATGTAGAAGGCAACTTATTCTCATAAAATTAGTCTGGAAAGTTACCAAAACCTTTCTCCCTCTTGCTAGTCCAAAAGCTGACCATTTTGGGGCCAAGAAAATGGGTGCCAAGGACAAAAGCAACAGAAAAATTAGAGGCGCTAAATAGAATGATAGGACAAGATAGAAAGAGCAAGGGGACCAAGTCCAGACCCCACACAATCATGTCTGACCTCCAGTTCTAGTTACTGGCTCACAAGGCACTGTGCTCAGAGATAGTTACTCCCAAGGACCGCTCCCCACCCAAAGAATACAATACCCTCTGAGGCTTGGTCCTTCCTGCCGTGTGTGCTCTCAGAAAAAGTTGAATGATGTTCTCTACCCCTTTCCAGGGATCCAAAAATCAAGAGACATTTCCTCAAAGTCCTAAGAGATGCCTCTGCCACTACACCAGTCTCAGACTTGTCAATTTTCCAGAAGGAAGGGGAAAAAGTTACAGGATTAGGTGATGATGGAGGAAAGGGCATGGTGGTAGGAAGGGCAAGAGTGGGGATGTAAAAAACACAGGTTTCAGGGGAAGACATGGCACAATTCTTCAAATGAGCAATACATTTACAAGGGTTGCAAGTACCTCTATTTATAGCTCTGTCTCTGATAACTCTGAAGGTTCAGAGTCTCCATGGCCCCTTAAGGTCTGGGCTAGACTGGAGGGACAGATAAGGAATGAGAGGGAAAGCCAGAAAAATGCCCTTTGGCCAGGGAAATGTGATTGGTATAGAAAACCAAGAGATAAACACCTTCCTGGGATGGAACAATCATCTGAGATCCAAGTTCACATCTAACTATGGCTTCTCCCACTTCATCCTCCCTACCCCCACCTGATGATATTCCACTGACTGGATGGTTCCAAACCCCATGACAAAAGTTTCCCACAATAAAACTCTGAAGAAGGAAGACAGACAACTTTTCCAACAATAGGTGAGAAATGCTGGCGAAACCATACCTAAGCCACTCTGCTTCATTTCTGTGGGTGGCCGTGAAGATGAAAAGAGCCGGTAGCCACCAGGCCTTGAGGATGAAGTCTCAGAAAGTACCTGCAGAAAAAGGACTCTATAATTAATCACTTTGCCACCTCAACCCTAAAGTTTTATACTTATCCTGGATTCCTGTCCCTACAAAGCTAAGCAATATTAGAAAGTTTGCAAGAACCAAAGGATTTATAGGAGAAGAGGGATGAAAAGGGAACAGAAAATGCACTTTATGGAGGGAACTGTCTGGGGCATCTTTCTATACTAGAAGCCACTTCTATTTTCAAGATGCCTTTCCCCAGAGCCCTCCCATTCCCAATCTGAGTTTGAGAAATCATTATTCAACCCATTCCTAGTTCTCAGCAGAGCAGAGTTTCCTAATCGTATCCATCCCCCCACAAGACTCAGAAAGCCGATCACAATGGCTCAGCCACAAATAAGAAAGTCTGGCCACTCTCTCTTCTTTCCATGGGACAGCTATGGCTACTGCAACCATACTACATTTCTTGTTCGAACCAAGCAGCCCTCCCCTCCAACTATCTCACCCCTAGAAACATGAAACAGAATTCTTACAATGCCCACAAGGGCCCAATCACACAACCCCCAATAAACACACATCCCACCTAGATAGTGTCTGAGTCCCTAGATCCCAAAAGGCAAAGACAGAAGGTAAAACAGGAAGGTGAGGTAGGGAGGGACACCTGTGTGCAGGATGCCAGGTGAGTGGTGGACACAGCCCGGGGCTGTAGGCCGATGGCTGGGGAAGGCCGGGGGAGGTCTCCCGACCTCCTGCGGCGCCGTCCCCGCAAGGGGATGAGGTCCAGGTTCCCCGTGCACTGCATGTTCATGACCTGCAATCAGACCGGGTGGAAAGCCGGTCACGGCTCCTTTAAACCCCAGGATCCCAAAAGCCCCAGTGCCCACAGGGCAGAGCCAGTTACAGGGCTAGAGAGGATGACCAGCTAGGGCATAGCTGCTATGAAGGTCACAAGTTTTATAATCTGAAATAGTTAAAAAGTATGAGATGACAAGAGGAGAAGAAGGGATGGAGGGAAGGACAAGTTGTATGCCTATATTTATAGAGCAAGGAAGATAAATATTAATATTAGTATTATAAGGCTCTGTGACCAAGGAGCAGAGAGATGATTTCCTTGCAAAGCTGAGGAAAATATCCTGGACAACCATCACCCTGGATAAGCGAGGGTCTAAGCAGCACTAGTAATTGAAAAGAAGGAATGTGATTACAATAGGAAGCTTCCCATAGGCCTGAAAGAAAGAAGTCAATCTTATCAAGTCTGAGAGATGATATACAGAGAGCTTTCCTTTGCCTGTGTCTTTTTTTTTTAAATTTTTTAATTAAAAAATTTTTTTTTGTAGAGACAGGATCTTGCCCTGTTGCCCAGGCTGGTTTTGAACTCCTGGCCTCAAATGATTCTCCCACTTAGGCCTCCCAAAGTGTTTGGGTTACAGGTGTGATTCACCACACCCAGCTGCCTATGTCTTATGACTGCATAAACCAGAAGAAAATGGTGGTGGGGGGCGGGGGGCGTGGTTCAAGCACAACAGCACCAGGAGAGGCTAGCAGACCATGCGAATAGGAAAGACATTTGGAGGAGCAGTTTATTGATGGAAGATTATGTGTCATTCTATCCATGTGATCTACTGCATGTGAGTATAAAGGGTAATAGAGTACTATGGATACCAACTTACACTCAAAGAGAAAATAATGTATATCCTACCTAAAGAAACTCTGCATATTACCAATGTCAATTTCACCTTAAAATAATCAGGAAGTAAAGGATGAATCAAAAGAAGAGACTGCAGTTCGTCTTCTCAGCTTTCTCCAAAATCTGAATTGCAAACCTTTTGCTGAACCTAGGTCAGCTCATTATGGATTCTTCTGATAGATCCCTAAAATGGAAAAACCAATTCCTCTGAGATAGAGACCTGGCACTGAGCCAGGTGAACAGAGTCATCAGGACAGAGCAGAATCTAAATCAGACAGTCAAAGTCTCTGGGACAGGGATAAATTGTGGTGTCAAAATGAATGTAAGTGATACAGAAGGAGCTAGATAGGAAAAAAAAAGCGGGGTGGATATAATTGGGCCAAAGACAGAAACAGTTTTTCCAGGAAAAAGACCAAAACAAAAAGCTCAGATGGTTAGCTGGGCATAATGTGAGACTAATAACACTTACTTCCTTTAGGCTAAAGAGCTAGAATCAGAACTAAGAGAAACTTCAAGAATAGCAGAATACAGGCCCATGCTGATAAAGATCTTCATCAGAACAAGAGGAAGACAGACAAAGCTCTTGGGTGACCCACTTTCTGGAAAGACAGTACAGAAAAAGTGCCAGGTATTTGCTCCTATCTGAGCTATAATTTTTACCCAAGGTAACCAAGAGCTGGAGAGGGCCGGACCTTAAATATCAATTGTATTGTTACTATATTACTGTCTGTTGAGCATCTATAAGGTGGATACTACTCACATTTTAGAGGTGAAAAAAAATTGAGGCTTAGAGAAGTTAAGGCCAGAGAAGTGTAGAGAAGTTACCCAGAGAGTCACACAGCTTCCAAGTATCAGACTGGGATTTTAGCCCAGAGTTCAAGATGTTTCTACTAGATTTCCTTTTAAAGAACACCTTTTCAAATTCATCCAGAGCCCTCCTCCTTAATCTTATCTCTTTAAACCCTTATCTCTCAGGCACCCCTCAGTGGCACTCTTTAATCTGAGAAGTAGCAACCAGGTTAAAGAAGCTCTATTGAGACACCAGCTTGAAAGAGAGATTAAGTAAAACATCAGTCAGAGCAGAAGGACTCTGCTTCAAGTCCCAAGAGTACCCCCAAGGGAATCTAGAGGATCTGTGGATATAGTCCTATGAGTACTGCCACCCCTTCATTTTTTTCCCAAGGACCTCTCATTACCTCCATGGAACCAGCTTTTCGGTTACGAATGAGGGGTGATCTCCTTGGGAGGCCAGGGCCCTCAGGAGGCTGGGGCGAAGTCTGCAATGCCCGGTCTGGCTCATCTGATGCCTTTCCTGGACACAGGTTCTCCATACTGCCTTGGTTGGTTTTCATTTCCTCATTCTATACAAAAAAAGGCAGATAACAGAGGTGTTAATGGCCTCCAAGCTCCTAATCCCAGACCACCCAATCCTTTTACTTCTCCCTGTACCGTTTCCCACCACTTGGTTCCTTCAGTCCCAAATCCCAGCACTCTGACCCACCTCAGAAGAGGCTGGACGGAATCCACAGCCAGTTGGGGCACTGCCTTCTTCCTCACCACCTTTCACTCCAGGGCTGAAGTGTAGCTCCACATGGAACCGTTCCTCTGATAAGGGATCCTATGGGGCATCACCACAAGAGGGGGAAGTTGGGAGAAGCTGGATATTGTGGTGGAAGTAGAGAGGAACTCAAGAGGATTCATCCTCCTAGGAATTCAGGGTCTTGTCCCACTCCGGGACTGACCTGTTATAGCTTCCTTTCAACTATATATTGTCTCTTACAGGATCCTCATTCCCTCATCTCTACCATTTGTGATTTCGCCATTGCACGTGACTTTTGAATTTCCAGCTTTACAACCTTTCCCATCACCTTCCACAATAACTCAGTTTGGCTATGGTGCATATAGCACATTTAAAGGTATATTCTGGGCCGGGAGCAGTGGCTCACACCTGTAATCCTAGCACTTTGGGAGACTGGAGCAGGCAGATTACTTGAGTCCATGAGTTCGAGACCAGCCTGGGCAACATGTTGAGACCCTATCTCCACAAAAAATACAAAACATTAGCCAGGCATGGTGGCACATGTCTGTCATCCCAGCTACTCGGGAGGTTGATGTGAGAGGATCACTTGAGCCCAGGAGGCAGAGGTTGCAAGGCTGCAGTGAGCTCAGATTGCAGCCCCGCACTCCAGCCTGGGTGACAGAGTAAGACCTTGTCTCAAAAAAAAGAAGTATCATTGTGGAGCCATATGCAGAAGGTATATGTATAACCATGTTTAAGGAAATAAGACTTATAACATTGTCCCAAATTCCATACTCTTCCTAATGCCAGAGCTGTGTTCTAGGTGATCTCTCTGGCTCAGCAACATCCCAGCACATATTTTCTGTTCCAGTAAGAACCTCCTGGATGCTCTGTGTCATGCTGTGCCTAAGTGCCACACCTAGCTGGATTCTCCAAATTATAAGGATAAGTGAGGTTTTTTTTTTAATAGAAGTCAAAAGAAGGGGCCTTCCTCTCATCCCCCACCTGCTAGCTCCTCACCTGTGTGTTGTCCTCATAAAGCATGATGACAATCTGGGTCATATAGTTAAGCTCTGAGATGGCACTAAGATAATCCAAAGCTCGCTGCCATTGTGCATCCTGGGTCTCCTATCAAATGCAAAAAGAGGTAAGCCATTGCTTAAGGAAAAGGGAGTCAGGGAATGAGCAGGGAGCTAATGAGAAGGGAGAAAGCTTTCATTTAAAAAGCATGAGGAGAAGAGTGAAAGAATGCTGGGAAAAATCTGTTCACAGGCTAAAGAAGAAGGAGGATCCTTACATCAAGAAGTCCTCCATAACGGAAGACACTGAGTAGGGAGTGGACGTGGCTCTCACTGGTGAAATAGAGACGCGTTCGAACGTGGCGACCTGGGGAGAGCACGCCCCGGGAGTACCTGAGATAACAGCTAAATCACTCACACAGTCAGTTAATCCTCCTCCCACCCTTCTGGACACTCTCTTCTCCCACCTCAAAGACTTCTCTCCTTTCCATCCCAAAATCTTGTCTATTCTTGCTTCCCCAGGCTGTTCCAGCCTTGATTCCCCCAAGACTCCCTGACATGCCCCTCCCTCCATCCAACACCCCTCCCAGCCCTCCCTCACAGGGGATGCAGCTTGTTGACAGACTCATCCTCGTGGGTTCTCTGCAGGTCAAGCAGTATCTTCCGCAACAGTGGAAGACAGAAGCCCACAGCAATTTCCAGTTTCTCCTCCCGGCTGATCCCGTACTCCTAGGGGACACAGGCCAGAAATAAATACCTCAATAAATCTTGTCTTCTCATGCCTCATATTCCCAGGACCAAGATCATGCCTGTCTTCACCTCACGTCTAGGGCTTCTTTCATATCCACTACACTCCCCCTCTTCCAGGTGTCTCCTGAATTAGCCTCCTGTACTTACCAAGAGCCAGACTGGACCCTGAGAAATGTAGAAACTCAGCTTATTCCTTCTCTAAGTGGCTTTCCTCTAGTCCCAAATCACCCTTCCTTTCCACCTTTTCTCTCTTTCCTTCCCAGCACCCTCGTCCCCAGGCTAGGTCCCTTATACAAGACACACCTGGGGAATGACCACATCAGCCAATGCCTTAGAGAGACGAAGCAACTCGGCTGTGCCTTGAAGTCCCAGACTCCCATTGTGCTGCACATCATACTTGACACAGTCATAGATGTCAGGGATCTTACTGATATCATAGCGCCCACTCTTCTGTCGAAAGTCATGCTCCAGCTTGCTCCAACGCTGTAGCATTAGCTCTAGTGTCTCACTGTGGTAGAGCTGCAGGTCTGGAAGAAAGGCAGAAATCAGATAAGAATCAAAGATTTTACCTCCAACCAAAGACCCTGATGACTCTGAAGTAGAACCACAGGGAGGAGGAGGCCTGGTCTCTGACATTTAGCAGATGACACAAGAATGCCTGAGAAACCCATCCATACCTGAGACCTTGAAGGGAAGATAGTAGTATTCATACCCACCTACAGACCTGGGGTCCTGCATCCGTTCCCGGATCTGGTGGGTGAGGTTTTCGATCAGGGCAAATACCTGATCACAGACCTTCACAGGATTCTGGATGATAGTCATGGAGTTGAGCAGGGAAATACTTCTGGTGGGAGCCAGCTATGAAGAATTGAGAGAAGAAAAGCAAGACAAGCTCAGCACTAATTGCCCAGATTCCTGTGAGCTTATTACACAGAGACTACCCACAATACAGATCTGTATGCTGGTTCACTCTAGTGAGCATTCTTAGGTTACTGGGCATAGTAGCAGCTCTAGGCCTTCAGGTAAGGGCACTGCTCTAGCATATAGTCATCTAAGAGGGATTGATTTTAAGAGTCTTAGAGTCCAGAGAAAATAAAACAGACCTAAGTTATTTTCTTGAAGGCTCTAGAATACGCATGGGAAATACTGGAGAATAAGGATTAAACCAAAATCCCTCAAAATCTCCACAGAATATTTTCATGAGTAGAGATCAGAGATAACATCATCTTCTTCCTCTAAACAAGATGCCAGCCTGAGCCTAGAGTAGAAATGCTGCCTCAGAACTGGGTTCCGACTCAGGCTTTTAGGACAGTAACAGTCAATGAGAAATGGGGAGGGAGAATCAAGATTGTGGCTGAAAATGCACAACTCTATTTAGGTCTTCACAAGTTTCATTCTTGCTTTCAAAAGAAGACAAGGCAGAAAAGGAAAGCTGCCTTAGCTTTTTTGAGTTTGACAGTGAGCAATGTATTGGGAAATAAAGGAAAGGTCCTGTTCCTTATCAAGTCCTACTCAGAGAACACAGAAAATGCCATGGAATCATAGCAATGTGCTTACTTAGCTCATTTAAGAACCAATTAGAAATGTTACACAACAATGTAAATACATGTAATGCTACTGAACTATACACTTAAAAATGGTTAAAGTAGCACCACAATTTTAAATTGTTAAACTTTTTTTAAAAGAACCTATCAGAAACGAGGAGTGGGAAGAGTAGAAAACCACTGCCTGGTCAATTGTGGCCTAGATATGCAGGAAAAAGAATGACCATATTGAGTAATGGCATATACTACAATTAATACTATAAAGCAATGTAACAGCCTGGGTTTTGGAGTTAGACTCCTTGGGTTTGTATTAGCTGGATGACATGAGGAAAATTGCTTAGATTCTTCTGAGCCTAGGTTTCCTCATCTGTAAAATGGGATGAAAGTCCTTGTGGTCTGCAGTCCTCGTAGTGCTTTAAAGATGACCATCAATTCTTTGTCTTCCTTCCCTTCCCTTAAATCTGGCTGGCCCGGTGACTGCTTAACCAACAAAAAATAGCAAAGTTATTTTGTGCTAATTCTGAGCCTACACTTTAAGAAAGTTTCTAAGCTTCTGCTTTTAAATATCCCTACTGCTACCATTTAATACATCCAGCTATCATGCTATGGAAACCATATGAAGAACCATGTGGAGAAAAGAGGCACTGAGATTATAGGGAGAGCATGCAGAGGGAGAGCGCCAGCCATCCCACAATCCCAGCTGAAATTCCAGATGGTTCCAGCTCCAGTCAATATCTGACTGCAATTTCAGGAGAGACTCCAAGCAAGATCAGATGAGCCCAGAACTGTGAGAGATAATAAAATGGTTGTTGTTTTAGCTTACTACGTTTTGGGGTAGTTTATTATGCAACAATGGATAACTGAAACATTTAGTTCAGGGTCCTTGGGATCTGAGCTGTGCTTTGAAATGAGAATGTGTGGGACTTTAGAAGTGAATACAGTATATATGCCATATGTATATAATACCTCCAAAAGGGCCTATGGCATAACCAAACACATTAATATTTCTGCCACAAAATGCATGACTATAAAGTGGGAAAACTAAGGATTATAAAAGTCTTACGACAGTTCGTGTCAGGTTTGGCTGCCAAATGAATCTTAGTGTCAAGAAAAAAATCTTTTTAATTTTCAAAATTATGGACAAGAGATTGTAGACCTGTACTTATCTCAAAGGGTTGCTGTAAGGATTAAACAATATGTGTAAAACAACTAAAACAGTGCCTAGCATGCAGTAAATACCGTTATTATTGATCCCTACTATTTAGAATTCTAGGAATTGGGGATCCAGGTTATTTTAGAGCCTGACCTGGTCGTAGTCCTCAGGGCCAAAGGGCGCATCCTGCTGTAAAATATGGTGCAGCCGAGCCTTCACCCGGTGCTGGCAGCTGCTCAAAGAATCCCCATCGCTGTCCAGCAGCCCATTCATGTTGGCACTCTTCACCATTTGCACCAAAATAGGTGTCAGCTCCCCTTCTAGAGCCAGAAGGCCCTAAAGAGAAAACACAAGGTCTATTTGTTTCCCTTGCAGGTTAGCAGGTTAGTATCCCTAGGCCTAGATGGTCCCAGGGATCGAATGGGACCTGGTTGAAGAGATGGGGCCTACAATCACTGATTCTCAGCTCATTCTCAGTAGTACAAAATGGGTCCAATACATGCAGAAACTTCAGAGTTGGCCTACAAGCACCCTGAAATGCTCCAACTGGTTCTCCAAACTCTGCTTCTCTACCTAATGGAAACTGGGACTATAGAACTGTAGTATGCACCTTGGCGAAGGCAGCAGCAGTCATCTGAACACGACCCTCATCAGAGGCATAGATCTTGAGGTCGTGGCGGAAAGTGCTATGGAGACGAAGCAGCCCACAACCAGGGAAGCCAGCATAGTCACCTGGGGACAAAGCGGGGGACCAGGAATGGACTGCTATAAATACTCGTGGAAGAAAAAATATTCATTTCTCCACTGTCTCTTTCACTTCATTTTCCCCAACTTACTCTCTAATCATTTTTATCCCGGCCCTGTTGTGTTTACTCCCCAAAACACTCACCCTGTCCTCCAGGGTACATGCAGCGAAAAGCTCGCCCCAGCTCCTCAGCCTGAACACGGCCAGCAGGAGTGAGTTCTCCACCCCACTTCAGTACCAGCAACAGAGATGGGGCCAGAGGCTCCCTCTGTGGATCTGAGGGAATAAGGGGCAGTGAATGGTCTAGATCTAAGAAAAGTAGTGGGAACGTCTAAATGTTAGGTCTTCTGAGGAGGCCAGAGAGGTAATTTGGGGTATAGGTCATCTACAGGCTCAAGTAAAAGAGATCTGGTGGGGAGAAAAGATAGACAAAAAAATAAAAAATAAAAAGAACACAAGATCTGAGAGGTAATGGTAAGGGGGACTACATCTTACCTTGCCCCTCATTAGAAGCTTTTACTCCATGAGGGTAGTAAGTCAATTGTACCTTCCGGTTTATACCTGAGAAGTGACCATACCTGCAGGATAAAGTCACAGTTTATTTTCCGTTCCAGCACCCCAGCTCTCACTGTTATTGGCTCCCTTTTGCTATCCCCTTTCTCACATCTCCAATACAGACTTCAGCTGTTCTAGTTTTCCAGTCTTCTCCTCGATTTCACCACCTGGTTCTTTCTCCAGTTCAGCCAACAACAGCCTTGTGATATCCAGCACCTCCTAGAGGAAATAAGGTATCTATGCAGAAGGCCAAGTCCTAGACAGTTACCTTTTGATCCCAGTCTTTTATCAAGACTCCCAATGCCATACCCTCTCTCTCTCTCTCATAGCACTGCTCCTCCTGGCCAGATTCACTACCTTACCTGGAGCTGCTCAGGTCGCTTGAGTTTTAATTTCCCTGTCTTGTAGCCACCATGTTTTTCAAACAGAGCAAAAAACCTGAAGAAATAATGAGAAGCTTCAGTGTGGGATGAGACAGTCAAAGCCTGTAGGAGTTGCACCCCATGCAGCCTTCCTCATGAAAACCTATTTGTGTAAATTAGGACACTCTTCCTACCTTGGGTGTTTCACTTCCATCTTCATCTTCTGCTTGGGAGTACGATCCCCATGACGAATAATTGCAATGACACAACGAAGTTCCATCCTAAGATCATAAATGTTATCAGAGCCTCTCCCACACCCCCATCCCACCTCCTGTCTTCACATTACTTGACATGTCAAAAAATAGGGGGGCTTGGCCGGGCGCGGTGGCTCAAGCCTGTAATCCCAGCACTTTGGGAGGTTGAGACGGGCGGATCACAAGGTCAGGAGATCGAGACCATCCTGGCTAACATGGTGAAACCCCGTCTCTACTAAAAAATAGAAAAAAAAACTAGCCAGGCGAGGTGGTGGGCGCCTGTAGTCCCAGCTACTTGGGAGGCTGAGGCAGAATGGTGGGAATCCGGGAGGCGGAGCTTGCAGTGAGCCGAGATTGCGCCACTGCACTCCACCCTGGGCGACAGAGCGAGACTCCATCTCAAAAAAAAAAAAAAAAAAAAAAAAAAAAGTTAAAAAAAAAAAATAGGGGGGGTGAGCAGGGCTCATGCCTGTCATCTCAGCACTTTGGGAGGCTGAGGTGGGAGGATCACTTAGGCCCAGGAGAAACATAGGGTGAGCATAAGCAACATAGGGTCAGCCTGTCTATAAAAAAGTTAAAAGAAAAAAAATGATCCAGGCGTGGTGGCACACGCCTGTGTCCCAGCTATCTGGGAGGCTGAGGTGGGAGGATCACTTGAGCCCAGGAGGTAGAGGCTGCAGTGAAACATGCGTGCACCACTGCACTACAGCCTGGGAGACAGAGCCAGACCCTGTCACAAAAAAAAAAAAAAAAAAGAAGAAAATGAAAAGGAAACTGTGATTAGGAATATAAATGGAGGCTGGGCATAGGGGCTCATGCCTATAATCCCAGCACACTGGAAGGCTGAGGCGGGTGGATCACTTGAACTCAGGAGTTCAGGATCAGCCTGGTCACATGGTGAAACCCTGTCTCTACTAAAAACACAAAAATGGCCGGGCGCGGTGGCTCAAGCCTGTAGTCCCAGCACTTTGGGAGGCCGAGACGGGCGGATCACGAGGTCAGGAGATCGAGACCATCCTGGCTAACACGGTGAAACTCCGTCTCTACTAAAAAATACAAAAAACTAGCCGGGCGAGGTGGCGGGCGCCTGTAGCCCCAGCTACTCCAGAGGCTGAGGCAGGAGAATGGCATAAATCTGGGAGGCGGAGCTTGCAGTGAGCTGAGATCCGGCCACTGCACTCCAGCCTGGGTGACAGAGCCAGACTCCGTCTCAAAAAAACAAAAACAAAAACAAAAAACACAAAAATTAGCCAGATGTGCTCACCTGAACCCAGGAAGTGGAGGTTGCTGTGGGCCGAGATCATGCCACTGCACTCCAGCCTGGGCAACACAGCAAGACTCTGTCTCAAAAAAAAAAGGCAGGGAATATAAGTGGAATTAAGAAGACTGTGTATAAGAGACCCAGGCTCTGTTAGTCAGATAGTGTGGGGTCAGGAAGTAACCAGTAGTCTGGTTGAAGGAGTCCCATGGGTCTTAAGTAGGTTACTCCAGACCTTTTACTTCTGCTTACATAGTGCCAGATGTGGTAGGAACAATGGGAATGTCCTCAGCCTCTGTGGGGATGGACCACGGAATCTGGAACTGTGGGGCAAGCTCCCGCATTATGGTATTCCTAGAAAGAGAAACAAAGAAGCCATGTAAAAATGAATAAACCAGAACTACTCATATGAATGAAGCTCACAGAAACAAGCAGGCTGCAGGCAGAAGAATACGTTGATATAAAGTCTAAAAACATACAAACAAATACCCATACATAGGCAGTAAAAATATAAATAAATATATGGGAATGACAAACACCAAATTATGGATTGTGGTTCCCTCTGGGGATGAGGAGGGGATGTTACCAGGGAGGAGTATATAGGGGCTTCAATTACATATATATATAAAAATATATATACACATACACACACATGTATGTATCTATACATGTATGTGTATATATACATATATACGTACATATATACATATATACACATATGTGTACCTATATATGTACGTGTGTGTGTATGTGTGTGTGTGTATATATATATATATTTTTTGAGACAGAGTTTCGCTGTTGTTGCCCAGGCTGGAGTGCAATGGCATGATCTCAGCTCACTGCAATCTCCACCTCCTGGAATCAAGCAATTCTACTGCCTCAGCCTCCTGAGCAGCTGAGATTACAGGGGCCCACCTGACCATGGCTAATTCTTTGTTTTTGTTTTGTTTTGTTTTGAGATGGAGTCTCATTCCTGTCACCCAGGCTGGAGTGCAGTGGCATGATCTCACCTCGCTGCAATCTCCGCCTCCCGGGTTCAAGTGATTCTCCTGTCTCAGCCTCCCAAGTAGCTGGGATTACCGGTACCCGCCATTATGCCGGCCAATTTTTGTGTGTGTGTATTTTTAGTAGAGACGGGGTTTCACCATGTTGGCCAGGCTGGTCTCACCAGTCCTGACCTCAAGTGATCCACGCACCTCGCCCTCCCAAAGTGCTGGGATTACAGGCGGAAGCCACCGAGCCTGCCCAATTTTTGTATTTTTAGTAGAAATAAGGTTTCACCATGTTGGTCTGGCTGGTCTCAAACTCCTGACCACAGGTGATCCACCTGCCTCGGCCTCCCAAAGTGCCGGGATTACAGGCGTGAGCCACCATGCCCGGCCTATATTCCTAACATTTTATTTCACAAGCTAGGTGGTGAATACATAGGTGCTCACTATAGTCATCATTCCTTATATATTTTCAAATGGTTTATACATTATGTGACAAATTTCTTGGAAAGTCAAGTTGCAGAGCAGTATTATGGTATGACCACATTTAGTAAAATAAATACAGCTTGGATATGGCAGAAAAAGATAAATTGTTATGTCTAAAACTTGTAACAACAACGGTCTCTGGAGGGGCAGTGTTAGAAAGGCAAGGAGCCTGAGGAGCCCCTTCTTTCTTTCTTATTTTTATTTTATTTATTTATTTATTTATTTATTGAGACAGAGTTTCGCTCTTGTCACCCAGGCTGGAGTACTATGGCACGATCTCAGCTCACTGCAACCTTCACCTCCTGCGTTCAAGTGATTCTCCTGCCACAGCCTCCCTGGTAGCTGGGATTACAGGCATGCACCACCATGCCTGGCTAATTTTGTATCTTAAGTAGAAACAGGGTTTCACCATGTTGGCCAGGCTGGTCTCTAACTCCCGACCCAGGTGACCCACCTATCTCAGCCTCTCAAAGTGCTGAGTTTACAGGCATGAGCCACCGCACCTGGCCTGCTTTTTCACTTTTAAATCATCTTTATGATATTTAAAATAAAGCAAAAACTTTCAAATATTCTTCTGTAAGCCCATTCTCCCCAGCACAGACCACTGTGTCTCTTACCCCAAAATCTTGGCACAGTCATCATAGTATTTCATCGAGTTCTTGACAAAACTAAAACCATTGACATCGCACACAAAGGAATGACCATTGGCACGAAGAAGGTCAAACCCACAAACTGTTTGCTGCAAGGAAAAGAAGGAAGATGAGAACAAGACAGTTACTCTTCCTGGACCCCTGTTCCTTCCTTTCTCCCTCATTTCGCAACCTCCCTGGGCCCTCCTCTACCTTGAAAGCTACGCAGACTTTCCTGGCCACCAGCTTTTCCATGGCAGTCAGCATGACTGGATATCGAATCTCTTTCCCCTCACTGTCTCGTTCAACCTTCCCATCCAAAGCTGGAGACTTTCTAGCTTCAGCATGGGCATAATCTGGCCCCACTGTATACACCTGCAGGTACATAGCATCACTGAGTATGCCCACAGCTCACCCTGTATATGAGAAGACAATATGAGCACTAGGTCTGTAGACTAGTTTCAGAGTAAAACAACAACAACAAAAACAAAACCAACAAATCCTGAGCATTAAGGGGACTGACCAACATTTTTCCTACTGAGCCCTACTCAAGTATCATTACGAATTTCTCCTCGGGACTCCACTACTGTCAGACAGTCCTTATTAAACAATAATTTACCAACATTATACCATTTTTCTAAGTCAGCCTTGCCCTTGCTCTGATAGTGAAAATGTGAATGTCTGAATCCTCCACTCATTATCTTCACCTGAATATGAAAGCCAATCACATTCACATCATGTTATTTTCTAGGACCTCCTCCCCATATACTTCCACCTGCTTCCCAAGTACCCCATCCCCACCCAGACATCTGTAACCTCTTAAATCCCTGTATCCACCATAACCTTGACATCTGTGCCATCTGTTGGCATAAATTCCTCATAGATGTACGACCCCGTCTTTCGGACGCTGCTCTCAGGAGAGTAAACACTGCTTCGGCTGCCAATCTTCAAGAGAAAAAAAAAGAAGAAAAAACAATGTTGCCTCAACTCTCTCTTCTGTCCCCAAATTCTCCATCTTCCTTCCCCACGACCTCATCCTTGCCCTTTTACCTCTCTGACTCTCCAGATGCTCAAATGTCTCCCCTACCTTACGAAAGAGACGCTGGCTTCCTCCTCCAGCTGAGCTGGGGTAGTAGATGTAAACATTGTGGTCTTCTGCACTCACTGGCTTCTCCACGAAGGGCTTGGGAAAGACAGCTCCATTGACCTCTACTTGGTCTTCACCTTCTATCAGGTTGCATTCTGAAAGGTGGGTGTGTGGTCATTCCTATGGCCTATGGTTATGGAATATTACTAATTCTCATTTCCCCAGGTTTTCATCTCTATAACCCTCAAATTTTTATGACCGTATCTTTGTAATAGATGAGGTAAAAACTCTATATAACAGGTCCAAGACTCTGTCCGAAGACTTATGGCTCTAACCCCACCCATAATCCAATAATCAAAACCCCACATAGATAGGTGGTATATAGGCGATGTCTAGAAGATGGAAACGTGGCTAAGTCATAGAAAGCAAGGAAAGGCAGGACTAACCCTCCCTCAGGCCAGGTACTCACCATCAGGCCGGGCAGGATCACGGTTGAGCACAGCATATCGAGGCAGATCAATACCCTCTTCCTGCAGGATCCGGTACACCTCCCTCCTGTCACCCCCAAATAAAATAGCTGGGAGAGGTGGGAGTAACTAAGGGAAGAGCCTGGGGATTTCATTTGCACAGGATTAAAAGACACCAGGGCACAAAATTATGGTACAAAAATTAGGCATGTTTGTTTGACTCTGCCCTTCTCAGAGTGGGTTCCCTGAACATGCGTGATCCCAAAGCCGCCCATCTCACTGGTCAACAGGAAGTTATACCTATCTTGGATGTAATACTGCATGGCCAGATCATTGATAAGAAAGGGGTTTCGAAGCTTGGAGTAAGCAACAGCTTTGTCCAGAGGGAAGCCTGGAATGGAGATACAAAATAAAGAGACAAAAGAAAGGGAGAGAAAGAGAACGAGAAAAGAGCAAGAGACATAGAAAGACATATTAAAGCGACTAGCTGCCACTGAGCTCCTCTACCCATTCAATCCATCACTTATTCTTCTGCCCAGCTCCCCAAGTCTAGGATATTTATCAAGAAAAAGTAAAACAGAAATTATTTTTACAGTCCTTCCAGAGACCCAACTCTGTCCAGAGATCCTAAGAGACTTAGAGTTGTCCTGAGGTTAGACTATAGGCTTTAAATCCCCAGCAACTCCTCCAGGATGTAGGGAAAGCAAACTCCTTGGCACCATTGTCTAGTGTGTCACAAGTAGCTGATGGCTCTTTACTAAGGAAATAAGACAGTAAGAACCTCATGTCCCAAACCGGTATTCCCACCACCATTCCCTCCCATTTTCCTTCCCAGACCCCAACCTTTGGAGTGGAAAGAGATGAGACAGTGGCAGGATGGCCAGTTTTCCACAGGTTCATTAAGGATTACATCTTCTCCCAGAATGATAACAGTCAGGTAGTCAAATCTGCAGAGTCGCTCTAGGATTTGAGTCATTGGCTTGGACTTGGATTTCTTGGTCATGGCACAGATGCCAACAATGATCTGAGGTTCAGGAGGCTACAGAGAGGAAGTGCTATCAGAAACTCAAGAACTTTCCACCAATATCACCCCCTTCTGGGAACACTGTCTTATCTTCTTAGGGCACAGAGTTTCTTGCCAGGACTCTGGACCTATGGGATACAGGGTGCCTCCTAACTTTGATCTAGGTTGGGGCACAGCTAGGGATTCCAACTGCCTACAGAATAGGAGCCTTTCCACAATAGGAAATACGTGCTCAAGCAGGAGAGCTAGAGAACCAACAACCATGAGACAACAGGAAGATCCTAAGGGCAGGGGTTTCTTTTTTTCCTTTTTTTGAGATGGAGTCTCACTCTGTCGCCCAGGCTGGAGTGCAGTGGCATGATTTCTACTCACTGCGACCTCCAACTCTTGGGCTCAAGTGATTCTCCTGCCTCAGCCTCCCCAGTAGCTGGGATTACAGGTGCCCACCACCATGCCCAGCTAATTTTTGTATTTTTAGTAGAGACAGGGTTTCACCATGTTGGACAGGCTGGTTTCGAACTCCTGACCTCAAATGATCTGGCTGCCTTGGCCTCCCAAAGTGTTGGGATTACCCACACCCGGCCAGGGCAGGGGTTTCTAAGAGAGGCAACCTAACCAATCTCTACTGCCCCTCCCCTAAACCAGGATAGGGCCTGTTTATGACAGGGAGTCTATGCATTTGGAAAGAACAGAGAGGTATCTCCAACCAATAGAATCTTAATTCTCAAGGACAGAGGCTCCAACACCAAGTTATATCATTTTCCCCATTCTTACCACTTCATCCTCCTCGTCCTCAAGGAGCTCGCTGTCACTCTCTTCTGGCCTCATGCCTATTCCACGGGTGCCCAGCCCCTCATCTCCAGCTCCAAGGAAGAAGTGGGCAGTGGTACTCTCGCCCTCACTGGCCGTCAATGACCACATCCCTGCCGGAACACCCACTCATCCCGCTCTGCAGAGGGGGGTACCCCATCAGCTCAGAACCCAAGCCCCCTGGCAGTGGGTGGGGATGGGGATGGAGATGAAAAGCATAAGAGGGAACTATAAGGGGAAACAAAACAAAGCTATAGGAAGAAGGATCAACAAGAAAGGAGGCATATGGGCTATGACTTGAGATGCTAAAAGAGCCATAAAAGAAAAACCAAGGTATCCCTTTTCCTCCCTGCTCACCCCACCCCAACCAATAAATTAGTAAGAGGATCAGATAATCAGCCCTTACAATGCCTGCATGTCCCTGATTTGGCCAGCAAGAAACATTAACTTCAGGTAGCAAATGGGAAAGGTAGGTCCTCAAGGAAGGCTACTGTTGAGTCCTACCAGAAGAGAAGGTTAGAGTGACATTTCAAACTTTGACTCATTCCACAATGTTCCTAGTCCTTTTCCACCTCCTCACAGTAGTGTTGAATTCAGTGATTTAATTCAAAGGCAGAGGAATGAGAGAGCTCAGCTGCCTTTCCCCTTAAACCTCATCTTCATTCTTCCCAAAGATTCACTCAAAAAATATTCATTGAGGGTACCCTACATTCTAAGTATTATATCAGAACATTAAGGCCAGGCACACTGGCTTACACCTGTAATTCCAGCGTTTTGGGAGGCTGAGGAGGATGGATCACGAGTCCAGGAGTTCGAGACCAGCCTGGGCAACATGTCGAAACCCAGTTTCTACAAAAAAATACAAAAATTAGGCAGGCATGGTGGTGCATGCCTGTAGTCCCAGCTACTTGGGAGGCTGAGGCAAGAGGATCATTTGAGTCCGGGATGTGGACATTGCAGTGAGCCGAGATCACGCCATTGCACTCCAGCCTGGGTGACAGAGTGAGGCCCTCTCTCAAACCAAAAATTAAAAAAATAATAAAACCCCCATGTTCTCTCTCTTTCATCTACTCCACCTTAAAAGACAGTTGCCCAGCCAGATGCCATGGTTCATCCCTATAATTCCAGTATTTTAGGAAGCTGAGGCAGGAGGATCGCTTGGGCTCAGGAGTTTGAGACCAGCCAGGGCAACATAGCAAGACCCCATCTCTACAAAAAAAAATTAAGGCTGCACACAGGGGCTCATGCCTGTAATCCCAGCACTTTGGGAGGCTGAAACAGGATGACTGCTTGAGCCTAAGAGTTCGAGACCAGCCTGGGCAATATAGGGAGACAGGACCTATACAAAAGCTTTTTCTTAAATTAGCCGGGCATGGTGGCACGTGCCTGTGGTCCCAGCTACTTGGGAGGCTAAGCTGGGAGGATTGTTTAAACCTAAAAGGCCGGGACTGCAGTGAGCGGTGATTGTACCACTGCACTCCAGCCTGGGTAACGGAAAAAGACCCTGCTTCAGAAGAAAAAAATTTTTTTTTCTTTTTTTCTTGAGACAGAGTCTCGCTCTGTCACCCAGGCTGGAGTGCAGTGGTGTGACCTCAGCTCACTGCAACCTCCGCCTTCCGAGTTTAAGCAATTCTCCTGCCTCAGCCTCCCGAGTAGCTGAGACCACAGGCACACCACACCATGCCTGGCCAATTTTTTTGTATTTTACTTTATAGTAGAGACAGAGTTTCATCATGCTGACCAGGCTGGTCTTAAACTCCTGACCTTGTGATCCCCCCACCTCAGACTCCCAAAGTGCTGGGATTACAGGCGTGAACTACCATACCCAGCCAAAAAGTTTTTTAAAATTAGCCAGGCATAGTGAGTTGTACACACCAGTGGCCCCAGCTACTCAAAAGGCTGAGGTGGAAGGATTGTTTAAGCACAAGAGGTCAAGTCTGCAGTGAGCCATGATCGTGCCACTGCACTCCAGTCTGGGTGACACAGCAAGACCCTGCCTCAAATAATGACGATAATAATAATAATAATAATAAAAGACAGATGCCCAAATTCAGAAAATCTGTTCAGGCAAAGAGGTCTAGTGTGGTTGGGAGGTTGAGGATACAGGCATCCATACAGCAGTCTCCAACCCATTCTCAAACTGAAATCTCAATGTTCTCTCTAGTGTCCCCTGGTACTATAGAACCAGTGTTAGTCTAGGCCAAGGTCATTCACACCAGGAGCTACAGTTAAAAAAAAAAAATCCTGTCTAAAACTGTACAAGTAAGAATATCTTAAGACTTTAACTTGAGGGCCGAGTGCGGTGGCCCACGCCTGTAATCCCAGCACTTTGGGAGGCCAAGGCGGGTGGATCACGAGGTCAGGAGATCAAGACCATCCTGGCTAACACGGCAAAACCCCATCTCTACTAAAAATACAAAAAAAAAAATACCAAAAAAAAAACAATTAGCTGGGCGTGGTGGCGGGCGCCTATAGTCCCAGCTACTCGGGAGGCTGAGGCAGGAGAATGGCATGAACCTGGGAGGCAGAGCAAGCAGTGAGCCGAGATCCGCCACTGCACTCCAGCCTGGTCAACAGAGCAAGATTCTGTCTCAAAAAAAAAAAAAAAAAAAAAAAAAGAGAGACTTTAACTTGAACTTGAACCAGCAGTTCCACTTCTGTGTACACACAAGTAACGTAGTGGTTCTCAACCAGCTGTGATTTTGCTGCACAGGGGACGTTTGGCAGGAGACATTTTTGGTTGTCACAATTGGAAAGGTACTATTGGTGTCTAGTGAGTAGATGCCAGGGATACCGCTGAACATTCTAAAATGCGTAAGATAAGATATCTCCTCACAACCAAGAATTATCCAGCCTTAAATCTCAGTAGTGCTGAGGTGGAGAAACCCTGCTGTAGAGAAATTCTCCTACATAAGAAGACTTTTGTGAGGAAGTTCTTAACCTTCTTCATCTCTCTGTTGGTAATGAGAAAAACAAAATAGTTGACAGGTTACAAGTAGAATCGATAAATATAACGTTGTATACAGAAAAGACAGACTAATAGCAATGCAAAAATAAAAGCTGTATGTAATAAATGGACAGTTTCCAAATACAAACTGCAGAGACATACCTGCAGCACAATTCTATTTGTATAAATACAAATATTACATATGGTTTATGACTGTATATATAATTAGTAGAAGTAAAAAAACAGGGACTGGAAAGAAAGACATCAAATTCATGATAGGGGTTACTTTTGAGAAGGGAGAATGGAACTGAGGATTCAAATGGTACTTCATAACCTTATCTACAATGTTTATTTCAATTGTAAAAAAGATCTGAAGCAAATACACAAAAGTTTAACATTTGTTCATATGAATTGTAAGGATATGAATATCTGTTATTATTTTCCAAAAATAAAAATTGAGTCACACATCAGCAATTTTCCATGGTCTCCAAAAGCTCTCAGAAACACTGACCAGTGACTCTAGTAAAAGCCACAAACTCCTTAACTAAATGAACTTGTCTTACAGAAATGATATCTTATATATGTAATTAGTCTCATAGATTTTGAAAATAATCTTGAATTATTTGCTCTATCTTCATTTTAAACTCTTTCATTACAACTGGGGCTTGCAATTTTGACTAGAAAGTTCTAGTTGACTGCCGGGCACGGTGGCTCATGCCCGTAATCTCAGCACTTTAGGAGGCCAAGGCAGGCAGATCACTTGAGGTCAGGAGTTCAAGAACAGTCTAGCCATCGTGGTGAAACCCTGTCTCTACTAAAAATACAAAAAATTAGCCTGGTGGGGTGGCGCGTGCCTGTAATCCCAACAACTCAGGAGGCTGAGGCTGGAGAGTCCTTTGAACCCAGGAGGCGGCGGTTGCAGTGAGCTGAGATCATGCCACTGCACTCCAGCCTGGGTGACAAGCGTTAAAATCCTGTCTCAAACGAACAACAACAAAAAAGTTCTAGTGGACCTTTATACAGACCTCGAACTCTCGATCTTTCCAGTCTTCATCATCTGCTGTCTTTACTTCTCAGTTGCCACGGGGGTGCAACATTCTCCTTAGACGTAATATTTCTAGTTGTGCACTGTATGTCTCATACACACACTCTTCTCCCTAATAAAAAGGCTATTTTTTAAATTCCTTTTCAGTGACCTGACCCAATTTCCCTGACTTGGGACATTCCCAAGGTCCCTGTATAGTTTGAGCAATTAGAATTTTGTTACATTCCTCATCCTCGCTCTGAAGCAGAGACTTTCTCTCAAGCCTAAGATTCCTAACCCTTTGCCCTTTCTTCCATTGAGTCCTTCCTTGTTTTCTACTGACTGTACAGTCATGGTCTTGAAATTCTATTGCAACTACATAACGAGGCATGGTAAGTAATAGAATACGGAAGAGACTGTTTACAAATAAGTGGCTGAAGAGAGACGAAAGGTCTAAATTCCTAGTTAACAAAGCAAAAATAGAAACCTGACAGAAATAGCTATGAAATAAGCCAGGATTTATTTAGATGCACCTCTAGGAGAAGCTAGACTTTAATGTGGTGTTCCCAGGGCCGCTTCCCTGTTTTCCATGCTCTTCTCCCCATCCGCCTCTCTCCCAAACTGTGTTGCGAAAGAAAAGAAAACTTCACACTCCACACTGGGCTAAAGGGCAGTCTTAGGCCGATAGGAATCAATGTGAATGGAAGGAAAGAAGCAAGGAGATAGGTGAGTAAGGTAAGGAGGGAGGGGCAGGCAGGCAATCTTCTCAGGAACATCTATGTTAAATCAGATCTGGAGAAAGGGTAGAAGGGAGGGTACACGGTGTAACTTCTTTATCCCTTTGACTTTAGGGCTGTTTGCATACATTTAATTTCCAAAATCACTATGCACTTGATGGTGGACTCCATTGGTAGCGAAGAGGAAATATCAATACAAATTCCAGGCAGCAATACTTCCAACACAGAAAAACTCCTCAGGCCACCAACACTATTTTCTGCCCACCTTGAACAGTGGACACCTCACTTCCTTCTTAATGCAATTTTTAATTTTTAATTCTTCAGACACACTCCTCCTTCCGACTCCGATCAACTGTGCTCCTCTCCCTGTTCTCAGTATCAGCTGCTTCGTTCCGTCTTCTTTCCCCAACTTGCTACCACTCTTGCCCCAATAATGACTGCAGCCTCCCCATCCCGTCCCGCATCATTGGTCAACTAATTCCATTAATCCAACTAATCCTCTCACTGACTGATTCCCCAGTATTAAACTCCTTCACCCCCTCGCACGAGTCACCATACTGGGTAACATCTTTATATTGACCCCCAGTGACCCCCCACAAAGACGGCCTGCCATCCATTCTTTCCTCACACCACCCCTCTCTCGAGGCTGTCTTCTCTCCGCCGCAACCCATTCCTCAAGCTACCCCCTTCCCCCTGGACTCCAGCCCCACCCCTCCTGGCGCAGATCCCTTCCACCTTGATCCTCTGCCCTGTACGACTCCGCTCCTCCATCCTCCCGCAGGACCCCCTCTTCCTCACGCAGACCCCCACATACCCATCTACCTCCTCTCCCGCCGACCCTCTCCTCGGTACTCTTCCCGCACAGCTCCGGGTCACGAATACCGCCCTCCCATCCCGACTCCACTAGCCTTTGCCCGCCCCCGCCTTGGCCGCCCCACTCTCCCTACGCTGACACTAAGGCCCCTCCGCTGGGCCTCCTCCCAAAGCGGAGCCCACCCAGAACGAACCACTGCTCCAGGAATCCACCAAGCCCACTCTACCGCGCCCACCCCCTCCGATACCGCCCCCAGCCCCAGCCACTCCCCCACCGCCCCGGCCCTCACTCACCCGCC